CACAAGCAGGGGGAGCAGCAGAGGGAGAGGGAGAAGCAGGCTCCTCACTGAGCACGGAGCCTGATGTGGGACTCGATCCCAGGACCCTGGGATCATGACCTGAGCCGAAGGCAGACACTTAACGACTGAGCCACCCAGGCGTCCCAATGGTAGAACCTTTTTATCTTGATGAAGTCCCAATAGTCATTTTTGCTTTTGTTTCCCTTGCCTCCAGAGACATGTCTAGTAAGTTGCTACGGCCAATGTCAAAGAGGTCGCTGCCTGTGTTCTTCTCTAGGATTTTGATGGTTTCTTGTCTCACATTTAGGTCTTTCATCCATTTTGAATTTATTTTTGTGTATGGTGTAAGAAAGTGGTCCAGTAGTATTTCACATGTTTTGATAGTATTGTAAATTGTATTTTTAAAAACTAAATGGCCTAATAGAGTGAGTTGGGAAATACTCTCTTCTCTTCGGCATTATTCCTGAATGATCCATTGGATGTATATTATGCCTTTTATTTATCAAGTCACAGTTGTTGGAATTGTTTTCAGTTTGAGACTATTATGAGAATTGCTCTATACATTCAGGTACAAACTGGAAATGTTCATTTCTCTTTGTTAAGTTCCCCTGAGCAGAATGGTTGGCTCGTAGGGCAAGTATATGTTTAACGTTTTACAAAGTTTTCAAAGTGCGTGTACGAGTTTACATTTCTGCCATCAGTGTATGAGAGTTTCAGTTTCTCCACATTCTCATCAACATTTGGAATTATTAGTCTTTTTGATTATAGTCATTCTTGTTGGTGTATAGTAGAATTTCATCATCATCTTAATTTCCCCAGTGACAAATAATGTTGATCATCTTTTCATGTGCTATAATAGACATTAATATGTCTTCTGTAGTGTAATGTCTATTTAAGTCTTTTCTCATTCTCTAAGTGAGTTGTTTGCCTTCCAAATTATTAAGTTTTTTACGTTATTTGTATATTCTACATAGTAGTCCTTTATCAGATATATGATTTGCAAATATTTTCTCCCCAAATATAGCTTACTTTTTCCTTTTGCTTTATAAAGTCTTTTGATGTGCAAAATTTAGTACAAGTCCAATTATCAGTTCTTTTATGGTTCACTGGTTTAGTGACATGTCTAAGAATTCTTTGCCTAAGCCACAGTCATGAGAAATGTCTCCTATGTTTTCTGCAAAATAGTGTGTGTATATGTATGTGTGTATAGATGTAGATGTAGATGATGACTTTGTTTTTTAGAGCAGTTTTAAATTCCCAGCAACATTGAGCGGGAAGTGTGCAGAGACTGCTTGTGTATACCCTACTCCCCTACACATGCAACCTTCCTCACTGTCAACATCCTGCACCAGAGTGGTGTGTTTGTTACAATTACCATATCGACATGTTATCACCCAAAGTGTATAACTTACATTGGTGTAGGGTTCTCTCTTGGTATTGTTCATTCTGTGGGTTTTGACAATGTATAATGATATGTGTCCTCATTTAGTATGTTACAGGTTGGTTTCACTGTTCTAAAACTCCTCTGGTTTCTGCCTATTTATCTTTCCTCTCCCCAACTCCTAGCTACCACTGATCTTTTTTCTGTCTCCTTAGTTTTGCCTTTTCCAGACTGTCATATGGTTGGAGTCCTACAATATGTAGCCTTTTCCAATTGGCTTCTTTCACTTAATAATATGCATTTAAGTTTCCTCCTTTTCTTTTCATGGCTTGATAGCTCATTTCTTTTTAGTGCTGAATAATATTCCATTCTCTGGATGGATAAAGCTGCTATAAACCTCCATTATCAGGTTTCAGCTCCTTTTGTCAAATAACAAGGGAAGTGTTGGATCATATGGTAAGAGTATGTTAGTTTTGTAAGAAGCTGCCAAACTATCTTCTAAAGTGGTTGAATCATTTTGCATTCCCACCAGCAATAAATGAGAGTTCCTTTTGCTGCACATCCTTGCCAGCATTTGGTGGTGTCAGTGTTTTGAATTTTGGCTATTCTAATAGGTGTGTAATGGTATCTCATAGTTGTATTTTAATTTGTAATTCCCTCATTATATATGATGTTGAGCAGCCTTTCATATGCTTATTTGCTATCTGTGTATCTTCCTTGGTGAGGTGTCAGTTTGGGGCTTTTGCCCATTTTTTAATTGGGTTGTCTTTTCTTACTGTGTTTTAAGAGTTCTTTGTGTATTTTGGATGTTTATCATATATGTCTGTTGCAAATATTTTATCTAGTCTGTAGCTTGTCTTCTCATTCTCTTGAGATAGTTTATATTTCTAGCTGTTACATTGAAATTTATTATCTTTTTTTTGAGAGAGAGCACCCATGTGTGCGAGGGGTGGGGGAGGGACAAAGGGAGAGGGAGAAAGAGACTCTTAAGCGGGCTCCACACCCAGCATGGAGCCCCACGCAGGACTTGATCTCACAACCCTGAGATCACAACCTGAGCTGAAATTAAGAGTTGGACGCTTAACCAGCTGAGCCACCCAGCCAACCAAATTGGCATTCCTGGGCTAAATCCCCCTTAGTCACTGTCTGTAATCCTAGATTTTTTTATGTTATCCTAGATTTGTTTTGCTAATATGTGTTTTTTTCCCTTTAAATTCTAGTTTGTTGACATACAGTTCAATATTGGTTTCAGGAGTAGAGTTCAATGATTCATCCTTTACATATAACACCCAGTGCTCATCATAACAAGTGCCCTCCTTGATACCCATCACCTATCTGTCCCATCCCCCACCCTCCTCCCTCCATCAACTGTTCTCTAGTTGAGTCTCTCATGATTTGTTACCCTCTCTCTTTTTTTTGCCCTCTCATGTGTTGTTGTTTTTTTTTTAAGATTTTATTTATTTATTTGACAGAGACAGCGAGAGAGGGAACACAAGCAGGGGGAGTGGGAGAGGGAGAAGCAGGCTTCCCGCTGAGCTGGGAGCCCGATGCAGGGCTCGATCCCAGGACCCCAGGATCATGACCTGAGCCGAAGGCAGATGCTTAACAACTGAGCCACCCAGGCGCCCCCCCCCCCATGTGTTCATCCATTTTGTTTTCTTAAATTCCACATATGGGTGAAATCATACTGTATTTGTCTTTCTCTGATTGACTTATTTCGCTTATTGTTTTGGTAATATGTTAACAATTTTTCACCTATATTCATGAAAGAGATTGGTCTGTAATTTTCTTCTTCTGTGATGCCTTTGGCTTTGGTATTTTGGTGATAGTGACATCATAGAAGGAATACATCTGGGCCTAAGCTTTTCTTTGTGAGACTTTTGTTTTGTTTTTGTTTCTTAAGTAGGCTCCATGCCCAGCATGGAGCGCAAAGTGGGTCTAGGAGATCAAGACCTGATCGCTTAACCAACTGAGCTACCCAGGCGCCCCTGTGAGACAGTTTTTAATTACTAATTCAGTTTCTTTTTATATGTCTATTTGGGTTTTTTGGAACTGTTCTTCTGTCAGTTTTGTTATTTGTCTCTTTCCAGGCGTTTATCCATTTCATCTAAGTAATACTTATTTTTAATCCATGGTTACTCAGAAATGTGCTAATTAATTTCCAAATATTTGTGTATTTCCTGAATTTCATTCTGAAGCAGATATCTAATTCAATTCTGTTGTGGCTGGAAAATATATTTTAAATTTATTGACATTTGTCTTCTATCTTAAATTACGGTCTTTCCTGGAGAACGTTTCATGTACCTTTGAAGAAAATGCATATTTTGTTCCTGTTGAGTATGGCATCAAATAACTGTCAGTTGATTATGGTGTTGAAGTCCTAAGTATCTCTGCTGGTTTTCTTTTCTTTTTTCTTTTTTTTTTTTAATTATTGACAGTGGGATTTTGAAACTTTCACCTATTATTGTTGAATTTTCTATTTCTCTCTTTAATTCAGTTTTTGTTTGTATTTTGTGATTCTGCCATTAGGTGTATATAGATTTATAATTTAGCTTCCTCATTTGTATACCTTTTCTATCATTATTGCCAACCAGAGAAAACCCATATAAGCCTTGGCGCCAGAGTTTTTATTGGAGTTAATGAACACAGACATGACTGACTGCCTGTATGGCTGACCTTAGTCTCCTCCAGCCCCTGCAGAGGCCCGGCTGATACCACGTGGTCCAAGGCCCTTCACCATAAATCACTTTATTAGAATAGACTGCCTTGCATTGCCCAAGCCTCCCAGGTGAGCAGAGACACTTTTATCAGGCAGGATATTCCAAGAACTTAGACGTTTCCTCCTAGAAACTAAGGGCAAAAGCCAAACCTCTGTTGGGCAAGGTTAATCATTTAGTGCATCAAGTGGATAAGACAGTCCTTATGATTTGCTTGGGACATTAGTCTTCACACTGAAGTGTGTGTACCCATGGAGCATATAAAGACTTCCAAAGCAGTGCATGAGCATACATGCTTTTTATTTTATTTTATTTTTTAAGATTTTATTTATTTATCTGACAGAGACACAGCGAGAGAGGGAACACGAGCAGGGGGAGTGGGAGAGGGAGAAGCAGGCTTCCTGCCGAGCAGGGAGCCCGATGCGGGTCTTGATCCCAGGACCCTGGGATCATGACCTGAGCCGAAGGCAGACGCTTAACGACTGAGCTACCCAGGCACCCCACACATGCTTTTTAAAGACACAGTGTCTAAGCTTTGCGCAGTGGCAGTATTGTAGCTGATGAGGTTTATCCGAGGCGCGATTATTACTAATTAAAGACACAATGTCCAGATCTTTGGAACCTCCCATATGTCGTAAATGGATGTGCTTGATAATCCACCTGCCTCTGAGGCATCATGCTCTGCTGCCTTTGCTTTCCCACCTCCCCTTTAATACCCATGCCACTTCTTCTTCAGAGGAAAGGCATACCTTTCACTCATTTAGAACCCTGCTTTACTGCCCTAGAGTGTGAAAGCCTCGGAACAGTTGGAAATATTGAGGTCCTCTAAGGTAAGTGCATAGCAGCAGTGATAACACCTAGGCCCAGAGGAAAAGTATACTCAAATTCAGTTTGCTCTTCAGCCCACAGGTCCCAGGTCCCCAAGAGCAAGAGTGATCAAGTGAAGGAATGAAGGAAGAAAAAAAAGGTACTTGGACTTGGATATCATTATTTCTAGGGACAACTTCAAGCAGACACCAAGCTTTCTGTCTCTAAGAACTTTGTGGCAGATGCAGAAGAGACGAAAGAAAGAATCCATGTTACTGTTTTGTGAGCACGGAAGAAAATGAGCAAGGACCAGGTGATTTTTGTTTGTTACGTTTTTCCTATGCTTTCTGACAGATTTGTGGTGACCTGAGAAAAATCAGTTCAACCTTTTAGTATAATTGGATTCTGGGGAGAAATTAACTTAGATTCTAAATTCAAAAGCAGAGCAAAGTGAAATCAGGAATATATTACTCAGAGGGGTCATCCTGAAGGATTAACATTGGAACACAGTGTGTGACTGGTGCATCCTGTGGGTTTCGGTAGCTGTCACTTTGAGTCTGATATCTCTAACAAACATCATAACCAAAGAGACATGAAAAGCTATGTGATGTGCACGGACTCTGTGGGGAAGGCAGACCAGTTTCTTGGGGGATTCAGTAGTTTATGCCACTTAGGTCTCCTGAAATTTCTTTGGTGGATTTCCTTGGAGGGCATCAGTGAGGTGTATTCTCACCTGCAGCCTTCTGGTAAGTGGGAAAGCAGATTTCTATAGCTGTCTCTTACAGAGGTCCTCCTCTGGGAATATGTCAAGCAGAGGTCAGTGGGTACAGTTCTTCAGGGCACCATAGTCTGGTGATCCAGGGACCCAACTTTATGGCAGTCTGGAATAAAACCACTGAAATGGCGTAGGAAAATGAAGATTGTATGACTTTCAAATGGTCCCCCATGAACAGGTAGTTGAAGTGGTGTTTGAGTACAGATTTGGCAGTAGTAGTAGTTGAGAAAGTGTTTTTCTCTATTAAGGGTTTGGGTTGTTGGCATCCATGGGGTTTGATTTAAAACTTTCACTCCATCTGAGAAAGTGGGGTATTTTTCCTTGTGTTTAAATTACCTTCCTATTTGTGTTTTTTTTTTTTTTTTTTTAAGATTTTATTTATTTACTTGACAGAGAGAGACACAGCGAGAGAGGAAACACAAGCAGGGGGAGTGGCAGAGGGAGAAGCAGGCTCCCCGCAGAGCAGGGAGCCCGATGCGGGACTCGATCCCAGGACCCTGGGATCATGACCTGAGCTGAAGGCAGTCGCTTAACCAACTGAGCCACCCAGGCGCCCCCCTATTTGTGTTTTTATTTTATTTTGTTTTTACCTTTTTTCTCTTATGTACACAGGTGACTCATGGTAAGAGAGTGCCTCTTAATCCCCTGGTGTAGCATTAACAAATACCTGGTAGTGCATACTTCTTATATGTATCTGTTTGTGCATTTACATACCTAAATGTATATATCTATCATGCTTTATATGAATGGAACAATACTCCAAACAACACACATAACTATAAGGGGCTTGCTATTAGTTGAAGTACCACAGGCCTAGTACCAGTTGAGCATCTAAAAGAAAGATGACTGCACTGGACTGAAGCATAGTAGCTGTGCAGCTATGGAAAAGTCCATGAGTTCGGGGCGCCTGGGTGGCTCAGTCGGTTAAGCATCCAACTCTTGATTTTGGCTAAGGTCATGATCTCAGGATCGTGAGATTGAGCCCTGTGTCAGGCTCTGTGCTGAGTGGGAGCCTGCTTAACATTCTCTCTCTCCCTCTCCTTCTACCCTCCCCCGCCCTTGGCTCAAGCACACGCACACTCTCTCTTTAAAAAAAAAGAAAAAAAGTCCATGAGTTCATAGTCATACTCAAAAAACAAAGAAACAAAAATCTTTGGAGTTTGATGGGAACAAAATATTTGATTTTTGAAGTGATAAATAACACAGTAACACATATGTTCAGAGGTTCACTCTGAATTTAATAGAGTTAGTGTGAAATAGTACAGACTTCGTTGATAGCAGCTTAATACTCCTTGACCCTTGGGACACCTGGGTGGCTCAGTCGGTTAAGCGTCTGCCTTCAGCTCAGGTCATGATACCAGGGTCCTGGGATCGAGTCCCATATTGGGCTCCCTGCTCTGCAGGGAGCCTGCTTCTCCCTCTGCCTCTCTCTCTCTCTCTCATGAATAAATAAATAAAATCTTTAAAAAAAAAAAAATACTCCTTGACCCTTACACTCATGTATGAATCACCTCTCCAGAGTGAGCCACAGTTATTTTCATGTACATCCTCCAAACTCTTTTAAGTGTGTTGGCATTCTCTTCCTGTTGGACCTATAAGCCAACTTTCTTCTTTTTCACCTGACACGATGAACTTCAGATGTTGTGTGAGTAATAATTAAATAATTCACTTATTGATGAATAGTTAGATATTTTTGTTATTACAAACCATGAGAATGAACTGCCTTGTTAATGGCTTTTCATGAAATTGTATCAGTGTTTGTTCAGAGTAGCTACAGAGAAATCAACTGTGGGGTGTGGTCATTTCACATTTTGATGTTCCAGCTCATGGTCAGTGTGGTATCATGTTTAAAAGTGTAGGTTTTGCAGCCAGTTGCCAGCCATGTGACTGCATTCTTCAGTTAGCCATCACGCCCCTTTTCTCATGTGTAGAATGGGGTTAATGACAATGGCACTTACATCATAAGGTAGGGTCTAAATTGCGGTTCAGGTCATGATCCTGGAGTCCTGGGATCGAGTCCCGCATCGGGCTCCCTGCTCGGCAGGGAGTCTGCTTCTCCCTCTGACCCTCCCCCTCTTATGCTCTCTCAATCTCATTCTCTCTCTCAAATAAATAAAATCTTTAAAAAATAAAATAAAATGAATTAATCTAGACAAAGCATCTAGAAGAGTGCCTGGTTGATAGAAAGCGTTATGTAAGAACATCCAGTGCTCCTCAGCTTGCCAACACTTGTTATTATGTTATCAAATTGCATATTTTCCACGGTCTGTATGAACCAATATTCTTTTGCCTTATTTTATTTTGCATTTTCCCAATCACTTGTGAGGTTCAGATTCTTGTCCCTTTGTTGCTTTTTTGGATTATTTCTTCTGTGATATGTGGTCTTCATTCTTGGCTCATTTTAAAAATTGTTTTTTGTCGGGCGCCTGAGTGGCTCAGTTGGTTAAGCGACTGCCTTCAGCTCAGGTCATGATCCTGGAGTCCCGGGATCGAGTCCCACATCGGGCTGCCTGCTTGGCAGGGAGTCTGCTTCTCCCTCTGACCCTCCCCCATCTCATGCTCTCTCTGTCTCTATCTCATTCTCTCTCTCAAATAAATAAAATCTTTTAAAAAAAAAATTATTTTTTGTCTTACTGATTTGTAATTGTTTATCTTGTGATATATTGATCTTTTATATGTTAGTTATTTTTCTAGAATCTTGTCTTTTCGCTTTTCTTAATATCTTTTTCCATGCAAAAGTTTTATTTTTGATTCAAATTAAAATTTGTTAGCCTTTTCTTTGTTTTTTACTTGTGCCATAAACATTCCATATTTTCTTCTATTCTTCCATAAGTTCTTTCTTTAAAAGCTTATGTCTTATATTCATTATCTGTTGGTGTTGTGGCATAATAACATACACATATATATCTGCCTAATACATAGTCTTTTACCCTGGTTCCTGCTAATATTTAGTCTTTTACCCTGGTTCCTGACACAGAGTTTTCTAAAACTCTTATAATTTCCTTGGTGATAGGAGTGTCTGTCACAGAGCTCCTAAATCCCTTGGAATTTTCTGGGTGATAGGACCGTCTTTTGTTCTAATTAAGTGACTCTTGGTGTGGGCCCCTGGATGTCTTCTGTGGGGGCTGGTCTCTAGAAAGATCAAGTCATGATTAGAAGCTTGGAACTTGCAGCCCTGCCCCCATCCTCCAGAGTGGGGAGAAGGACTGGATAATGAATTAGTAATCGATTATTAGATCATGTCCATGAAATGAAGTCCCCATAAAATCCCGAAAGTACAGGGTTCGGAGAGTTTCTGGATTGGTGAACACATCTACATGCTCGGAGGGTGTAGCATACCCCAACTCCACAGGGACAGAAGCTTGTGGGTTCAGGACCTTCCAGACCTTGCACGAGGTACCTCTTCATCTGGTTCATTTGTATCCTTTATAATGTCCTTTACTATATAATAAACCAGTAAATGTAAGTAAGTGTTTCTCTGAGTTCTTTGAGCTGTTCTAGCAAATGACTGAATCCAAGGAGAAGGTTGTTGAATCCAAGGAGAAGATTGTGGGAACCTCTGATTTGTAGCCAATTCCGACTGTGTTACCTGGAGACTCCTTCCAGGCGGGCAAGCAAGCATGGCTTACCTAGTCTGTCTTGTTTTTACCCACAATACTTTTGATACCAAACGAGGTTTTTTCCTCCTGACACCAAATATGTGATCTCTTTCAACACCACCTCTCCAGATTGACATTGGACTCTCTGACACTGACTACCTGCAGTTAGCATCAGATTACACAGGTTTAAGAGTGCAGACCTGCAAGAAAGCCACCACTTGGGATTCCAATCTCAAGTCTTGGTCTCCTGTACTGACTGACGGGCTCTAAATCATGGTTTCTACGGTCCCTTTCTCAGGACAGAGTATGGGGGTGTGCCACCCTTCCAGCAGCATGATGTGCTCACCAACTTGGAAGTTTGCTGAACCTGTGGTTTTGGGGGCTTTATGGAGGTTTCATGGCTTAGGTATGATTGATTAAATCATTGAACATTGGTGATTGAACTCAGGAGGTGGGGCTAAGTTCCAACCCTGTAATCATGTAGTTTTGTTTCCCTGGTGACCAGCCCCCATCCCGTGGCTGTGTGAGGGCTTGGGTTACCAGTCATCTCATTAGCACACAAAAGACACTCATCACTGTGGAGATCCTAAGCATTTTAGGAGTTCCTTGTAGTAACTGGGGCCAAAAGCCAAATATTTGTTTTTTGTCATATCGCTGCTGGGTACTTTGTTTCACAGTCACTCATGAGCCTGTAAGCAAGGTGTAAGCCAGGGTGGCATCTGATCTGGAGGCTCGGGTGGGGAAGGATGCACTTCTAAGCTCACTTACTGGGTTGTTGGTGGGATTCATTTCCAGAAGGGCTGATCAAGTGAGATCCTCAGTTCCTACCTGTCTGCTCATGTAAGATTCTTATTTATTAGTTCCTTGCTACATGGGCCTTCCCTACATGCCACTTGTTTCATCAAAGTCATGAAAGGACAGATTCTGTTAGCAAGATGGAAGTCACCAACGGAGCCACCTAGGCTCCTCATTTCTACTAAAATGTGTATAAGAAAATATATATAGGGGTACCTGGGGAGGGGGGCTCAGTTGGTTGAGTGTCTGCCTTTGGCTTGGGTCATGATCCCCGGGTCCTGGGATGGAGCCCCACATCGGGCTCCCTGCTTGGCAGGAGGCCTGCTTCTCTCTCTCTCTCTGCCTGCCGCTCCCCCTTCTTGTGCTGTCTCCCTCAACCTCTCTGTTAAATAAATAAAATCTTTAAAAAGAAAAAAAAAAAAAGAAAAAAGTATATATAGATGAGGCTATATGGTGATTAGGACAGCCTCCCTCATGCTTCTTCCATATTAACAAAAGTAATTCACATCATATTAAATAGGACCGTGTTATTACAGGAATCACTGACACTGGAGGATGTGGCCGTGGACTTCACCTGGGAGGAGTGGCAGCTCCTGGCCCCCGCCCAGAAGGACCTGTACCGGGACGTGATGTTGGAGAACTATAGCAACCTGGTGTCAGTGGGTGAGGACAGCTTTCTATGTCACTTAGAGGTGCTCAGTCACTGGCTTTTCCTCTATCACTCGATCAAAGCTTTGCAATCACTGTGGTCTTCCGAGGAGTCCCTTATCTTGGCCCTAAACAAAGGGGTATAATCTTTTCTATCCTGAGAGAGAACTTTTAACTACTTTGCATGTGAGAAATCGCTTTGTCTCTAAAATGTAATATTTTCCCATCTCAACTTACTATACCCCAAGTCACTGCATCTAAGTCTTTTGTCATTTCTCACGAACAGGGTGTCAGGCTACCAAACCAGATGCATTGTCCAAGTTGGAATACAGAGATGAACCATGGATAACAGAGGATGAAATACAGAATAGAACCCATCTGGGTGAGTGAGTACCAGCAAGAGGAGTGGCTGAAGAAGTTTTATTCTAGTCTTTAAGAGAAGGTGTCACAGCTGTGAGGGTGTCTGAGGATACCTAATCAGCTCCTCCCCATATTCCTTTCCCCAGATAAGAACTCTTTTTCTTTTGTGCGTATTTAGCTCTAAATATACTCCTTACCTCTTCTTGGATCTGATATTTATTTCATTTTAAATCTTTATAATTTTCTTTTAAAATTATATAGTCAAAACAATAAAGAGCCACCCCCACCACATCATCTTTAAAACACTTTTATTCTATACCATCCTTGTGAGAGAATTTGTTGTTCCCTTTTTTCCCTAGGATTCGGGAAGCTTGATAGTCATCTGCAAGAGCACTCTCAAAACCACAGATTTCTGAAGAGCACACAACAATACGGGGAACAGAGTACATTTAGAAATGCTGTTCATTTGAGCAAAATACATTTTGCCATAACGCAAAATCATGTGTTTGATTTATGTAGAAAAGCTTTGAAATCAAGTTTGAGTTTAGTTAACGAGAAGAGAGGATATGAAACAAAGAAGGCTGTTGAGTTTAATGGAGAAGAAAAATCTTTTCTGCATGGTAATCATGAACATTTGTATTCTGGAATTGAATTCCCTGAAAGTGCAAAATATATCAGCACTAAATTCCAAGACTTTAAGCATCAGAGGACTCTCAAAATAGAGAAACCCCACACATGCATCGAAGGTGAGAAAACCTGCATCAGGAAGTCTCGGCTTATTTACCATGAGAGAGGTCATAGAGGTGAGAAACCCCATGAGTGTGATCCATGTGGGAATTCCTTCTCCAGAAATGCCATGTTCGCTAAACATCAGAAAACTCATACACAAGACAAAGTCTGTATAACTAGTGAATACAGAAAAGGCTCTAGTGTGAAGAGCAGTCTCACTTTGCCTCAGCAAACCCAAACAGCAGAGAAATCCTACACATGCAGTGAGTGTGGAAAAGGCTTCACCATGAAACGCTATCTGATTGCACATCAGCGAACTCATAGTGGAGAGAAACCTTATGTGTGCAGTGAATGTGGAAAAGGCTTCACTGTGAAGAGCAATCTCATTGTGCATCAGCGAACTCATACAGGGGAGAAACCCTATATATGCACTGAATGCGGAAAAGGCTTCACCATGAAGCGCTATCTTGTTGTACATCAGCGAACGCATACTGGAGAGAAACCCTATATATGTAGCGAGTGTGGAAAAGGCTTCACAGTGAAGAGTAATCTCATCGTACATCAGCGATCTCATACTGGGGAAAAATCTTACGTGTGCAGTGAATGTGGAAAAGGCTTCACCACAAAGCGCACCCTCATTATACATCAGCGAACTCACACAGGAGAGAAATCTTACTTATGTAATGAATGTGGAAAAGGCTTCACCACAAAGCGCACCCTCACTATACATCAGCGGACTCACACAGGAGAGAAACCCTATGAATGCAATGAGTGTGGTAAAGCCTTCAGCCAGAAGATATGCCTCATACAACATGAGAGATGTCATACAGGAAAGACTCCCTTTGTGTGTACTGAGTGTGGAAAATCCTATTCTCACAAATACGGTCTCATTACCCATCAGAGAATTCACACGGGAGAGAAACCCTATGAGTGCAATGAATGTGGAAAAGCCTTCACCACAAAGTCAGTACTCAATGTCCATCAAAGAACTCATACAGGCGAGAGACCATATGGATGCAGCGATTGTGAGAAAGCCTTCTCCCACTTGTCAAACCTTGTTAAACATAAGAAAATGCACACAAGAGAAATGGGTAGATTCAGTCAAGTTGTAAATTCCTTTAACACAGAGTCGCAGCTCATTACTTATTAGTGAACTCCTGCAGAACAGAAGCCCTATGAATGTGATGACTGTGGAAACGCCTTCTGTGGCAACCGAGACTTCATTAAACATCAGTGTTTCCAGCAGATTGGAATGTAATCATGGTACTGCTGGCTGTTGATGTGTGTCCTGCGGAGATTAAAAACTTGTCTAGGAGGTAAATCTGGTGGCTACGGTGAATGTGTTGTAGTGCCTTCAGTGATCCTTACCTCATATTTTCTGTCAGTGAAAACATGTTGGGAAAACTCTTGATACATTCAATGTGGAAATGCCTTGAGCAAAACTTTCTAGCTTCATTATACTCTGAAAAGTGTATACTGAGATAAATTCTGTGAATGCAGAAACTAGAAAGGCCTTCAGGGGGAAGGTAGACTTTATTATCAGAGATCATCATAAATCATCAGTGAGCCTATTGTTCATAGAAATACGATTTTTTAAAAAATTTATGATGACCACGGGAAAGCTTTTACCCAGAAAGAAGACCTCAGTGAGGGTCAGAGTCCACACTGGAGAAAAACTTTAAGAGGACGATATATATATATATATATATGGCAGGATATCAGTGACACATTCTGCCTCGTTTTGTCAGGAAATCATATAGAAATGAAAACTTCATGAACATACTAAATGTAGAGCACCTGCAGTCAAATATCAGAGAACTTATGAAGTCCTGTGAAAGTGGTAAATGTGAGAGTGCTTTTAAATGTTACAAGTCTGACCTCAGTATACATCAGATAATTCACCTGATGTACATTTTCAGATGATACTTTGAAACCCTTTTCTAGTGGCCTTGTCAGTAATTCCTTAGTTTTAAAAAGTATAGTCTGCTTTCCTCATCACTGATTAATATTTATTGTTATACACCGTGCAGAGTGTTCTATGGAGTATTCTAGGACTACTCTGTATTATTGATTTTTTACCTTTCTTTGGCTCTAAACTTAATTGTAAATTTAGCATACTAAAGTAGTTTAAAAGGAAACTGAATGTTTTAAATTTATAAAATAACAAGTATTTGTACTTGCTTAACTAAGTTTATAAATATGACCAAATATTTTATAAAACCACCTTCCAAGTTATTTTTATAAAATGTTTAATTTGAAATCATTTTAACTTATAAGAAATTGCAAAATAGTCCAGAGACTTCCCTAGTATCCTTTACCTAACGCCTCCCAGTAAAAACATTTATGTAAGCCACATCTTACTGAATCCAGGAAAATGACATTGGTAGTATGTTAGCTAAGCCCTTAACCTTATTTGGATTTCATTAGATTTTCATGTTTTTTTTTTTTTTATGTTGTGATTCTAAGAAGTTTTATTACATATATAGATTCATGTAACCACTACCACAACCATCATGTAATACTGTAATCAACACAGATTTCCTCATTATACCTTTTTATGCTCATTCCCTTTATCCAAACCTACCTCTCGCAACCACTTACCTGTTTTCCATCAGTATAATTGTATAATTTCGTGAATGTTACAAAAATCATTTTTACAACTGGATTTTATATATTTTATATATAGGTTGTATTTATTTATATAATTTTCTATTTTTTTCCATAAAAGTTATATTAGTGACTATATACAAATTTATAATTTTTTATTAGTAGGAAGTGTGTAAGCTTTTCATGTTTTTGTCATTTGGCAAATTGCTCTGAAGACTTATGTGAGTTAATGGATGGTTATTTTTATTAGTGAGTAATACACATACTGGATGACCAGTTTGTTTATCCCTTCATTCTTGGAAGAGATTTCCTCATTTCAGCTTTTGTAAAGATGGTATGAAATCTGCATACAGGGTTTTGTGTGAACATAAATTTTCATTTCTCTACAATAAATATTCAGGTGGATGATTGTTGGGATGTATGGTAAGTTGTATTTAGCCTTATAAGAAACTACTCTCTTCCATCATGGCTGTGCTCTTTTACATTCTCACCAGCAGTGTATGAAATATTGTTCTGTATCCTCTCTAGCACTTGGTATTCAGTGCATTTGACACTTGAAGAACGTGGGGGTTAGGGGCACTGACGCCCAGGCAGTTGAGAATCCACGTATAACTTAACTACCAATAGCCTGCTGTTGCCTGGAAGCCTTACCAATAACATAAACAGTTGATTATGTGTTATATACTATATTCTTTTTTTTTTTTAAAGATTTTATTTATTTATTTGAGAGAGAATGAGATAGAGAGCATGAGAGGGGGGAGGGTCAGAGGGAGAAGCAGACTCCCTGCTGAGCAGGGAGCCCGATGCGGGACTCGATCCAGGGACTCCAGGATCATGCATGACCTGAGCCGAAGGCAGTCGCTCAACCGACTGAGCCACCAGGCGCCCGTGTTATATACTATATTCTTAAAGTAAGCTAGGGAAAAGAAAATCAGACTTCTGGGGCGCCCGGGTGGCTAAGTCAGTTAAGCGTCTGACTCTCGGTTTTGGCTTAGGTCATGATCTCATGGGTCGTGGGATTGAGCCCCGCGTCAGGATCTGAGCTCAGTGCCAGGTCTGCTTGAAAAATTCTCTCCCTCTGCCCCTCCCCCTGCTTGCTTGCTCTCTCTCAAATAAATAAATCTTAAAAAAAAAAAATAAGACTTCTGAGGAAGACAAATACCATATGATTTCACTCATGTGGAATTTAAGAAACATGAACAAAGAAAAAAGACAAAAAAACTACTTTTTTTTTAAAAAATAAGATTTTTTAAAAATCTTTTTAAAGATTTTATTTTATTTATTGAAGAGAGCGAGAATGAGAGAGAGAGCACGAGAGTGGGGAGGGTTAGAGGGAGAAGCAGACTCCCTGCCGAGCAGGGAGCCCGATGCGGGACTCGATCCCGGGGCTCCAGGATCGTGACCCGAGCTGAAGGCAGTCACCCAACCAACTGAGCCACCCGGGCGTCCCCCCAGACTCTATACAGAGAATGATCTGGTGGTTACCAGAGGGGAGGTGGGTGGGGGAATGGGTGGAAAAAAGGGGGATTAGGAGTACACTTAAAGTGATTGGCACTAAGTAATTTATAGAATTATTGACTCACTATATTGTACACCTGAAATTAATATACTCTGTGTTAATTATACTGGAGTTTTAAAAAATTGTAAAGCCTAACAAAATCATAAGGAAGGGAAAATACATTTACAGTACTACACTAAAAAAATCCACATATAAGTGAACTCATGCAGTTCAAACCCATGTTGCTCAAGGGTCAACTGTGTATTTCTTTTAGCCATTCCACCAGCAACATAGGAGAGATTTAGTTGCTCTCCATCCTCCCCAGCAGTTGGTATTGTCACTATATTTTACATTAACTATTCTCTTAGGTATATAGTAGTAAACAATCTTGAGCTTAACTTGCATTTTCCTAATGGCCAATGATGTTCAACACAGCATTATTACTATTATAATTAGACTTATTTATCTTATAACTGGAAGTTTGTACATTTTGACCATCTTAAGGTATTTCATCCACACCCCACCCCCAACCCTGCCTGTCACAACCACCAATTTTTCTCTCTCAGTTTAGTTTTTTTTTTTTTCTTTTAGATTCCACATATAAGTGAGATCATACAGTATTTGTTTTTCTCTGACTTATTTCACTTAGCATAGTACCCTCAGGGTCTATTCATGAGTCATAAATAGCAGGATTTTCTTTTTTATGGCTGAATAATATTCAATTGTGTGTACATTTTCTTTATCCATTCATTTTGTATAGGAGGACACTTTGGTTTCGATGCCATGGCTATTGTAAATAATGCTGCAATGAGCATGGGAGGGCAACTGTCTTTTTAAGACAGTGATTTCATTTCCTTTGGATAAGTTCAAGTAGAATTAGTGGATCATATGGTGGTTTTATTTTTAATTTTTTGAGGAAATGTCACACTGTTTTCCATAGTGGCTGTACCAAATTTACAGTGTCCTTCATTCTTTTTATGTCTGTATGCATGTTCATTTATTATTTATTTAACAGATCACCTACTGATGTACATTCATATTGGTATTAGTTACCTTTGCATTACAAAATTGCTTTCCTAAAAGTTAATGTCTGTCTGGACAGAGGCTGCGTGAACTAGATGGCTACACCTCTAAGCCTCCACTGGAATTGATGGGGTCTTTCACAGGCTCTCATACTGCAAGAGGCTAGCCTGGGCTCTATTCTAATGTGTTAGAAGAGCTCCAAGAGACAGACCCTACCTTACTGAGCAAGTCTAGTTCTATCCTGTTTGTTATTTGTCCTATTGGACACATTGGTCAGCTTCACTAGGAAGGGATGCTATCCCAAAGTGAACATATAGGGGCTCCTGGGTGGCTCAGTCGTTAAGCGTCTGCCTTCGGCTCAGGTCATGATCCCAGGCTCCCTGCTCAGTGGGAAGCCTGCTTCTCCCTCTCCCACTCACCCTGCTTGTGTTCCCTCTCTCGCTGTGTCTCTCCCTGACAAATGAATAAATAAAATCTTCAAAAAATATAGAGACCCAAGAGTAGTACATTCATGTAACAAGCACAAGAGTGTTTATTTCTTTAAAATTGTCAAAATTGATGCTATAATTACCCTTGTACATGGTCTCAAAAAAATAAATTTCTACTGAATCAATTCTTGAAATTAATTGCTGGCTCAAAGAGATGAAAAGTTTAAATTGGATAATTGCAGGATTTTACTGATTTATGTGCTCTAGTCTGAATCCTGCCTCCCCAAAAACACATCAAATACCTAATATTAAATGTGGTGTGCATTTTAAACTTGCAACTATGATAAGCAAGGTAGTAACATCTCAGTTCACTCAAAGCTGTATGTGGTGGACAACACTTAATTTACCTATGCAGATGAGAAAAATAAGACTTAGCATAATCGAGTGCCTTTATCCCATGGCCTCGCCACTCTGAATGTTAGTCATCGTTCAATCTTTATGAATCTTAAGGCTTAAAATATTTTTGCTTCATGTTTACTTTGCATTTATTTGAATATTAGATGCACTTTAAAAGTCGAGTATTTGCAATTTTTATTTTTTAAGATTTTATTGATTTATTTGACAGAGAGAGACACAGCGAGAGAGGGAACACAAGCAGGGGGAGTGGGAGAGGGAGAAGCAGGCTTCCCGCGGAGCAGGGAGCCCGATGTGGGACTCGATCCCGGGACCCCGGGATCATGACCTGAGCCGAAGGCAGACGCTTAACGACCGAGCCACCCAGGCGCCCTGAGTATTTGAAATTTTTTTTTTTTTTTTTTAGTATTTGCAGTTTTTAAAAATAAGTGGCTTATTGAGCTATTTAAAAAATTACGTTAGTCTTTTTCTTGTTCCTTTTATAATAGGCTGTGGAGAGTGGATCTCATATATCGATGGCGGAATGGGTTGGTATACTGCCTGGAAAATAGTTGGCAATTTCTCTTTCACATGCATACGCCTTCCCCTCCATTCTTCCCTATTCCTGGCCTTTGGTCCTCAAAGCCTGTCTTCCTCTCTGGACCCAGGGAAAGCTCCGCCTGCGTCCTCGGTTCCGCCCTTCGCCCTGGGCACTAACCTCTTGACTTTCCGTGGCCTTTTCCCCTATTACTCGCCCCCAAGCCTAAGTGGCGCGTTCGGGCGCTTTTATTTCCTAGTGAGCGACCACCATCCCTGTGCCCTCAGAGCTTCTGCGCACGTCGTTCTCTGTCCAAAAGTCGCTTCGAGCCCATTTTTGCTAGAAACTCGGCGGAGGAAGCTTCTGTAGGTGGGCTCGCCTTTTCCCGAGCGTGTTTTGTGATGGACAAATACCTCCACTTCCTGTTAACAGGGTCGTGCCAACTGGGCCGTCTAATTTTTTTTTTTTTTAAGATTTTATTTGCTTGAGAGAGAGAGAGAGAGAGAGAGAGAGCACACAGAGGGGAATGGAGAAGGAGATTCCCCGCGGAGCAGAAAGCCCTACGTGGGACTCGATCCCAGGACCCTGAGATCATGACCTGAGCCGAAGGCAGACGCTTCACTGACTGAGCCACCCAGGCGCCCCCCGTCTAATTTTTAATTTTCCAGTCGGCAAGCTGAAAGGGACTTCCGCCGCGCCGTTTTGCCTGGTTTAAGCTTCAGCCTGGAGACACCTGTGCGTTTCTGTCGGCCCGACCGGCCCTTCCACTTTCCCAGCCGCCCCTGCTCGCGGGCGCGGAAGAGGCCCCTCGGCTCGCCGTACGACCGTGATCCAAGATGGCCGCCCCCACGGGGTACGGCCAGGGCGCGGCCATGTTGCCGCAGCGGAAAAACCGGGATCCGGGTGCCTTTTCTCTAGAAACGCCTCCGACCCTTGTTGGCCACCGTCCTGGGGTGCCTGAGGGACGCGGGCGAAGTTTAGCGAAGGAAGTTCAGGCGCCGACCGGTCGCGGCGGTGTGTGGCGAAAGTCAGGTCCGTGTCTGGGTGTGTGTGTGGGTCGGCGTCCTCCTCGGGTGACGCGGGTGGGATTCCAGCGGGAGGGGAGCGTGGGTGGGTGTTCTGCCCGGTTGGGGCGTGCGCTTGTTGGTGCCCCCGGCCTCAGTCCGGAGGTGCTCTCTGGCTCGTGGTTAAAGATGTCTGGAGAACAGCGATCCGGTGCCGGGGGCACATCTGGGGGCCGCTTACTCTCTGGGGCTCAGAGACTGCCAGCCGCAGGGTTGTGGCTGTCAGAGAAGGCTGCGTGTGGTGCGGATTTTGTTCGGGCGCAAAGATGAGCTGTTCGGGCTTCACGTGCGGGGCTCGCGGGGGGCTGCCCCGAGCGCCCGGGGCGCTGGTGCGAGCGTGGGCCGCGCCTGGAGGCCCGGGGCTTGGCCGGGGCGTGCTGAGCCCAGCCCTCGGCGGCTGCCACAGACGCGAGGTGCGTTTGCGACCCCCTTCTGCCCTGTAACCCCAAGTCTGAGCTCTAGTTCCTAAACCCCCTTTGGATCCAACATCACCCCTGACTCTCGAACTTGCAGAAATCAAAGTTTCTGGCGAGGTGAATGACCCAGCGCCTCTAATCGGAGTCTCATATTTAAGATGCAGCCTTTTATCCTTTGTCCTGAAAGATTCCTGCACGTTCCTCTTGGATGTTTCTTTTCAGGCTCCGACTGACACAAGGAAAATAACATCTCTTGTCACCGTAAATTCCGTTCCCAAGGGGTAATCCTTGTCAAAGTTTTATTACATTTTAGTTTGAGTTTAAGAATAAAATCTGAAAAAATAAAAATTGCAAATACTCGACTTGTCAAGTGCATCTAATATTCAAATAAATGCGAAGTAAACATGAAGCAAAAATATTTTAAGCCTTAAGATTCATAAAGATTGAACGACGACTAACATTCAGAGTGGCGAGGCCATGGGATAAAGGCACTCGATTATGCTAAGTCTTATTTTTCTCATCTGCATAGGTAAATTAAGTGTTGTCCACTTATGTGTGTATGTAAATGTATGTAAATGTAAGTTATTACATTTAGTTTATTCAGTTTATAAATAAGCCAATTTATATTGGGCTTAATATTGATAATTCAGATAAATTGTGTAAATGGTACTATGATTTTCTCTCTTACCTTATTTCATGTAATAAACATTTACAGATTATTTTAATGTATGAACCTGTGGTATTGTGAGTGCAGTCGTATTCAGTGTTTGCATATGTTTATATAAAGGTGAAATGTTTGAAATGTTTAGGTATCATTTTGGGGACATTTTATGATTATGCATTTACTCATGGATTTGTTCCCCTGCCTTTCATCTCCAATGTAGACTTTATTTTTATCTCAGTTGTAAGCCTGTTATTCCTTTCTGAGTCTCTTTTCCTTATAATTTTCTATAATATAAAAAACCAATTAACTTTAAATATCTACTTGCTGCGGGGCGCCTGGGTGGCTCAGTCGTTAAGCCTTCGGCTCAGGTCATGATCCCAGGGTCCTGGGATCGAGTCCCACATCGGGCTCCCTGCTCAGCGGGAAGCCTGCTTCTCCCTCTCCCACTCCCTCTGCTTGTGTTCCCTCTCTCGCTGTGTCTCTCTCTGTCAAATAAATCAATAAAATCTTTAAAATATATATATATCTACTTGCTGCTTGGCCACCCTATTAAATTCTTACTGTAATGTCTTTCTCTCCACCTAACATTTTAGTATGGAAAATTTTCAAACATACAGAAATACTGAAAGAATGTTCAAGTATCCATCCATATACCTACCACCTAGATTCTACCATTAACGTCCTACTAGACTGGCTCTACCAGTTATCTAACTCTCTATCCATCCTCTGTTCGTGAATCAGTCTTTTTTATTAGAGGAGGGGAGGGGTGGAGGGAGAGGGAGCGAGAGAATCCCAAGCAGGCTCCATGCCCAGCACAGAGCCTGAGACTGGGCTCCATCTCACAACCCTGAGATCATGACCTGAGCCAAAATCAAGAGTCAGAAGCCTAACCTCCTGAGCCACCCATACACATCCTGATTCAGTCTTCTGTTGGTGCATTTTAAAGACAGTTGCAGTCCTCTACAGTTACTCTAAATGCCTCTGCAATTACCTGACTAATAGAGTTCTGATAGCTTTTTACTTGTTTCCTTTGTTTCCTTAATGAACAGAGATCTTATTTACAAGTAGTCTTGGCCTACTGTGAAGTGGAATGAAAGTGAATTTTAGAATGAGTTGAATCTGATATTTATTATTATTATTATTTTTTTTTTAAGATTTTATTTATTTATTTGAGACAGAGAGAATGAGAGAGAGAGAGAGCACATGAGAGGGGGGAGGGTCAGAGGGAGAAGCAGACTCCCTGCTGAGCAGGGAGCCCAATGCGGGACTCGATCCCGGGACTCCAGGATCATGCCCTGAGCCGAAGGCAGTCGCTTAACCAACTGAGCCACCCAGGCACCCTGATATTTATTATTTTTTTAAGAAATATTTTATTTATTTGAGAGAGAGGGTGAGCGAGAGAGAGAGCACGAGCTGAGGGGCAAAGGGAGAGGGAGAAGCAGACGCCCCACTGAGCAGGGAGCCCAACCAAGGGGCTCAATCTCAGGACTCCAGGATCATGACCTGAGTTGAAGGCAGACGCTTACCTCACTGAGCCACCCAGGTGCCCCTGAAATGAGTCTGATTTTTCAGTCCCATTGTGTAATTGTGACCTGTCTGTTTCCCTGATAGCAAAAAGAAGTTAGAATCTCTCCCTCAGGTGTTGTTTTGAAGATTAAGTGAAGTAAAACACCTAAAATAGTGATCTGTGATGGCAGGAACTTAGTATATTTGAGTAAAAAGGCTGATAATTTCCCCATATTTATGTTTTTGTGCTTTGTAAAATTTGTATTTATAACTCATTTTCTCTCTCCCTGCCTCCCCTTTGTTTCTCTCTCTCTTTTTTAAAGATTTTATCTATTTATTTATTTGAGAGAGAGAGGGAGAGAGAAACAGCATGAGAGGGGATAGGGTCAGAGGGAGAAGCAGACCCCCCGCCGAGCAGGGAGCCTGATGTGGGACTCGATCCCGGAACTCCAGGATCATGACCTGAGCCGAAGGCAGTCGCTTAACCAGCTGAGCCACCCAGGTGCCCTCTCTCTCTTTTTCTTTTTACTATGAAAACTTTTAAAGCTATGAACTTACTTTAATGATCTAGCAATGGCAATTTTAATTGTAGAATGCTGATAATTTTCTGATTTAAAATATAAGTGCTCTTATGAAAAATACAATGAAGAAAGTAAATGTCCTGTCAAATATTATACTGTTGCCAGTATTTCCTTTTCAGAAATACTTAGAAGTAGATTTTTAAGTTACCTGCAATACTTTTATTGACTGTTTTAAATTGAATGTTAAGTTATTCCCATGAACTGTCCTGTTTTTAACGCTGACCTTGACCTGTGTGTGCTTTAAGATGGCATAGAATTTTTTTATTTAAATGTTGTAACTAGCCACCTGACTAAAGAGGTATATAGATATGTTAGGTGAATATTGATAATTTGCCTCTTTTTTTAAAGATTTTATTTGTTTGTCAGAGAGATAGAGATAGAGCAAAAGCAGGGGGAGTGGCAGGCAGAGGGAGAGGCAGGCTCCCCACTGAGCAAGGAGCCCAACGCAGGACTCGATCCCAGGACTCTGGGATCATGACCTGAGTCAAAGGCAGTCGCTTAACCGACCGAGCCACCCAGGCATCCCCATTTGGTACTAATTTAGACTTAAACTCTTACTTACCAGTTTTGTTCCTCTTGACTCCTTGCTCCTCTACTTATGTTGGAGGATCCTTTCCTTTTGCTTGAAGAACATTCATGTTTGCTGTAACACAGGTCTTCTGATGAAGAATTTTCTCTGCTTTTGCCTGAAAATGTCTTTATTTCAGTTCTATTTCTAAAGAATCTTTTTGCTGACTATCCTATATAGGTTTATACTTATAATACTCTACAGAGTATCAAGAAATGGATGGTAATGAGAAATTAAATAAGACCCTGCTTATTATTTGCTTAGCGCAATGTTCTCAAAATCAAAGTGTATGTATCCTGGGATGTAAGAAGACTTTTGAAGAGGTAGATGGACATGCATGATTTAAAAGATAAATGGGATGCCTGGGTGACTCAGTTTGCTAAGCATCCAACTCTTGGTTTTGGCTCGGGTCGTGATCTCAGGGTCATGAAATTGAGCCATGTGTTGGGTTCCGTGCTGTGCGTGGATCCTGCTTGGGATTCTCTCTTCCTTTCCCTTTGCCCCTCTCGTGCTTGCAGGTGCTTTCTGTTTCTCTGTAAGTAAATAAATAAATAAATAAATTTAAAAAAATAAAATAAAAATGTGTACATTTTAACTATCTGTATGTCCTCTTTCCTAAAATGGACCCACCTGAGGAGTCCCCTGCCACTGGGCATCACACTCTTCTGGGTCTCTGTCCCACATTCCCTTTGACAGTCATACTACTTCTACTCTACAGAAGAAAGGTGTGCTTCCCAGACATTCTGAATGTCATGTTTTCTTGGCCCAGAGCACTTAATAAAAAAGACAGATCTTTGGGGCCTTGGTTTAAGGTGAATGCACAGCAACAGTGACAACATCTGGGCCTAAAGAGAAGGTACCACTCAGAGTAATTTGCTTTCCTGCCTGTAGGTGCTGGCTCCCCAGGACAAGCAGGATCAAGGGGAAAAGGAGGAAAGATTCCAAGACTTAGGTAACATCATTTCTGGGGAAACCCTTGATCGGAGACTGAGACTTTTGAACAGAAATTTGGAGCTGATCCAGAAGAGCTAAAGACAGAGCATCCAAGTTAGCAGCTATTTCCCAAAATCAGAAGATGATCCAAGCCCAGGTGACTTTTGGTTTCTTTTATTCTTTCCTTTATTTCTCAATGGATTAGTAGAGATCTATAAAAGAAAAATCGGCAATTAAAAGAAAAATTTAAATTGAGAATAGCAGGATCTGGAGAAATCTGGGCAAAGCAGAATCAGGAACCTATTTTTCATAGGATTCATACTTTGTGATTCATGTTGGAATGAATATATGTGACTGTGTAAGACCCTGTAGGTCACATTAGCTGTCAGTGTGCTGAAAATATCTCTGACAGTCATCACAAGGGAATCTTGGTAAGTTTCATGGTAGGCGGCATTTCTGTGATCTGTTTCTACTGCCAACACTTCTGACACCAAATGTGAGTTTTTCCACTCCAATGACCAGTTCTCCAACTCTCCAGATACTGCCTGTCTACAATTTGATTCAATCTTGACACTGACTACATGGAGTTACTATCATACTCAAGTTTAAAGGGCTCAGCCCTGCAAGACTGCCCTCATTTCAGAAGCTAAGTACTGAGGGCCCAGGGTGCCCATACTTCTGACTTGACTACAAGTAGGCAGTTCCCACAGTCCCTTCGTTGGTTTTGATAATTCACTACAGTGACTGACAACTCAGGAAAACACTTTACTTCACATTTACCAGTTTATTATAAAGGATAGAAGATGGGAACAGCCAAATGGAAGAGAGGCATAGAGCAAGGTATGGGAGAAGGGGCAAGGACCTTCCATGCCCTCTCCAAGCAAGCCACCCTCCCAGCACCTTGATGTGCTCGCCAACCTGGAAGTTCTCTGAGCCCTGTAGTGTAGTGTGGGTTTTTTTTTTTTTTAATATTTTATTTATTTGAGAGAGAGAGCATATGCATGTGCGCAAGTGGGGGAGGGGACAGCGGGAGAGGGATAAGCGAACTCCCCACTGAGCGCAGAGCCTGATGCAGGGCTCATACCAGGACCCCGTGATCATGATCTGAGCCAAAGTCAGATACTTAAACCACTGAGCCACCCAAGTGGCTCTGGACTGTTGTGTTTTTTTTATGGAGGTTTCATCATGTAGGGGAGATTGATTAAATCACTGGCCATTAGTGATTGTCTCAATCTCTAGTCCCTCTCCCCACGCTGGACAGCTGGGATGGGGCTGAAAGTTCCAGCCCTGTAATCAGTAGGTTGGTTTCCCTAGTAACCAGCCACATCCTTGGGTTTATCTAGGGGCCCACCAGAGTTACCTCATTAATATAAATTCAGGTATGGTTGAAAGGGGCTTTTTATAAGTAATGTAAGATGCCCCTCCCACCCCAACCACTTAGGAAATTCCAGGGCTTTAGGAGTTCTTGTGCAAGGAACCAGAGATGAATACCAAATACAAACTTCTTATTATATCGCAATATCACAGGCATTGACTGTGAGGAGAAAACAGACCAGTTCCTTGAGGGATGTTAATGTTTCATGGCACATAGGTCTGAAGTGCACATAGGTCTTTGATGGTTCTTCAGAGAGATGTTGTGGTGAGTGAGATCCTTAACTGCCCTTACTACTTAGAAATGTAAAAATGTATTTCTTACAGCTGTTGCTTCATTGTATCTATTGTGGTATTAACCCTGCCTAATTATATGCACACATACATATATATTTGTCTATGTACATATACGTGTCCATAAATATGTTCTTTATAGTTTTTTTTACAAATTTGTTTAATTATCTGTTAATCCTTTTGTTTTATACATGTTTTATACAGTTTCTTTTATTTTGTTTATTAAGCACTGAAATTAGTATGTATTGTCTTGTGACTATTACCTGCCAGTCTCTTCATTACTAGTTTTGGTATTAGCTCAAATGCTCATGGTGAATTTAGAAATCTGTATTATTTGTTTGCTTATAAGTATTATATAGTTCAGTATTGGCAAGTAGATGCTCAAATATATATAGATTACACATATTCTTACACTAGGCAAGAGGATTTAGTGATACATATTACAGAAACTTTCTTAAATTTTCAAGTTTGTTGAATGAATAGAAGATTGCACGATGACATAATATTATACAAGATTTCTTCTATCACAATGTATCAAAGAATAAAAACCACCATTTCCTATATGGCAAAATGAGCAGAATAATTTCCTTTATCTGTTTTTTCCATATCATCACAAGAATATCACTTCATTAAACATAACTGTGTTATAACAGGAATCCCTGACATTTGATGATGTGGCTGTGGACTTCACCTGGGAGGAGTGGCAGCTCTTGGCCCCCGCTCAGAAGGATTTGTACCGGGACATGATGTTGGAAAATTATAGGAACCTGGTGTCAGTGGGTGAGGACAGCTCCCCTGTGTCACTCATGGGGTGCTCTGCCAGTGGCTCTTTCTATCTCAGCTACTTAACTCTTTATTTATTTATTTTTAAAAAGATTTTATTTATTTATTTGACAGAGAGACACAGCGAGAGAGGGAACATAAGCAGGGGGAGTGGGAGAGGGAGAAGCAGGCTTCCTCCTGAGAAGGGAGCCTAATGCAGGGCTCCATCCCAGGACCCTGGGATCATGACCTGAACCGAAGGCAGTCACTTAACCAGCTGAGCCACCCAGGTGCCCCAAACTTAACTCTTTAATACTTTGAAATGGTAGATCCTCAGATCCTTCTCTTGCCTTAGACAAGTAGGTATAATGTCCCATCTTTTGAGAGAAAAGCCTTGATGTTACAGATGTGAAACCTATTTAGTCCCTAAAATGTAACATTATCCCTTCTTGATGTACCCCAGTCCACTAGGTCTTCTGTCTTTTCTCACGAACAGGGTATCAAGCCAGCAAACCAGATGCACTATCCAAGTTGGAACGAGGAGAAGAACTTTGGATGATAGAAGATGAAATCCACAGCCGAATCTGCCCAGGTGAGTGAGAACTGCCAAGGTGGGCGGCTGCAGTAGTATTCTGGTCAGTCAGAGAAGGCATCAGAACTGTGACAGTGTCTGAGGAAACGTAAACAGCCCCTCCCTGTATCTCTCTTCCCATATGAGAACTCTTTTTCTTTGTTGAAGTTTAGAGGAAAATATGCCCCTTTTTTTTCTTTTGAGATCGGATCCCTGTTTACTTTATATACTTCTTGTTTTTGTTTGCATAGTCATCTTTGTAGGATTTTCTTTTCTTTTTCTTATTATTTTTTAAAAAGATTTATTTCTTTTTAGAGAGAAAGCATGCGTGAGCATGGGGAGGGACAGAGGGGGAGGGAGAGAAAGAATCCTCAAGCAGACTCCTCGCTGAGTGCAGAGCCTGATGCAGGTCTCAATCCCACAGCCTGAGATCATGACCTGAGCCGAAATCAAGAGTTGGATGCTCAACCGACTGAGCCACCCAGGCACCCCCTTTTTAATTTTTTTAAGGATTTTTATTTTTAAGTAATCTGTATACCCAACAGGAGCCTTGAACTTACAACCCCAAGATCAAGAATTGCATGCTCCAGTGACTGAGCCAGCCAGGCTCCCCCTCCTAGAATTTTCTAATCTTCTTCTTCTTGATCCACTGTGACAGTGTTTTTACCTGTGTTACCACCTCTCCTGCTATGAAATTCCACTTTCCAGGCCTCTCTGGAAAGAAACAACTTTGACTTCATCACTTTTTTCTTACTACTTTGCTTGCCTACCTTACTAGGAAATAATGATTTCGTTCCATAATATCTAACTCCACCTTGGATGCTTTGTCTCCATGATAACCTGGTTTTTGCTGTGCGTTTATGTCGTTCTTTGGCTCCCCTCCCCCACTTTCCCACCAGAACCCTGGAGGTTCTCCATACTTCCGTTTTCATTTTCTTCTCAGTTCTCGTAACTCTGAAAAGCTTCCTTTATTCCCGTGAATTAACCTTTTTCCCTTCTCTCAGACATCCAAATTGGCTTTCTCTCTTTTTTTTTTTTAAAGATTTTATTTATTTATTTGAGAGAGAGTGAGAGAGAGAGAGAACACAAGAGAGGGGAGCGGGAGAGGGAGAAGCAGACTTCCTGCTGAGCAGGGAGCCAGATGCAGGACTCGATCCTGGGACTCCAGGATCATGACCTGAGCCGAAGGCAGTCGCCTAACCAACTGAGCCACCCAGGCGCCCTTGGCTTTTCTCTTAATATTGCCTAATGCATGCTTTCTTTCTATGTATTTTACCCTTCTTCATGGCAGTTAGCCTATGACTTTCCATTTTGTGTGTGAGAACGGGAATTATCTTCTCTCCATCCTTTTTTAAATTTAGGTTCTTTTTCAGCTCAACACAACTACACATTTTAAATTTCTCCCTATCCTGGCATTACCTCATTACCTTGAATGTTCTCTACTTGCTGAGCTTTCTTCTTTTTGTGGGGTGGGGCGGGGTAGAGGGAGAGAGAATTTTAAATAGGCTCCACTGCCTGACACGGCTCAATATCACAACCCTGAGATCATGATCTGAGTGGAAATCAAGAGTTGGACAATTAACCAACTGAGCCATCCAGGTGCCCCTGAGCTCTTTTCTTAAAGGTCATTTGATTAACAAGAAAATATCTTTTTTTAACATGCTATATGATTTCCAGCCCAAACCATGTCATAACTTATGTCTGCTTCAAATTATTTTCTTCATGGCTTTGTTAATTCATATTTTCTTTTAGTTATTAGATGTTATCACTGCATTTATTTTCCTAAAGCTTTTGTTTTCACATGATTTTTTTTTTTGTAATTCAGTCAATCATGCCCTGACACTGGCTGTGCTGATTTATTATTACTTTTCAATTTCTAAAGTGATGGCAAAATGGAATTTCCACTAATTTTTTAAGACTTGAGTCTGATTCTTTTTTTTCCTATTTAAGTATAATTAACATACAGTGTTATTAGTTTTGGGTATACAATATAATGATTCAACAATTCTATATATTTCTCTGTGCTCATCAAGATAAGTTGCTCTTAACTCCCCTTATCTATTTAACCCATCCTCCCACCCACTTCCCCTCTGGCAATTATCAGTTTGTTCTCTGTATTTAAGAATCTGCTTTTTTGTCTGTCTCTTTTTGCTTTGTGCACTTGTTTTGCTTCTTAAATTCCACATATGGGTAAAATCACAAGGTATTTGTCTTTCTCTGGCTGACATATTTCACTTAGTATTATATCCCCTAGGTCCATTCATGTTGCAAATGGCAAGATTTCCTTCTTTTTTATGGCTGAGTAATATTTCATTGTTATGTGTATACCACATCTTTTTTTTCCAAATTTTTATTTAAATTCTAGCTAATTAACATATAGTGTAATATTGGTTTCAGGAGTAGAATTTAGTGATTCATCACTTACATATAACACCCAGTGCTCATCACAACTACCCTCCTTAATACCCATCATCACCCAGTTAGGCCATCCCCCACCTCCCTCCATCAACCCTCAGTTTGTTCTCTATAGTTAAGAGTCTCTTATGGTTTGCTTCTGTCTTTTTATTTTTCCTTCCTGTGTGTTCATTTGTTTTGTTTCTTAAATTATACATATGAAATGAAATCCTATATTTGTTTTTTTTCTGACTGACTTATTTCACTTAGCATAATACACTCTAGCTCCATCCACATCATTGCAAAAGGCAAGATTTCATTCTTTTTGATGGCTGTGATACCACATCTTCTTTATCCATTCATGTCGGTGGGCATTTGGGCTCTTTCCATAGGTTAGCTATTGTTGATAATGCTGCTATAAACGTCAGGGTGAATGTGCCCCTTCAAATCTGTATTTTTTTATCTTTTGGGTAAATACCTAGTAGTTCAATTGCTGTATCAGAGGGTAGTTCTATTTTTTAAAAAATATTTATTTATTTGAGAGAGAGCATGTGAGAGAGCACAAGCAGTGGAGAGGGAGAAGCAGGCTGCCCATTGAGCAGGGAGCCCAACGCAGGGCTTGATCCCAGGACCCTGGGATCATGACCTGAGCTGAAAGCAGCCGATTAACTGACTGAGCCACCCAGGTGCCCCAGGGTAGTTCTATTTTTAACTATTTTTTTTAAGATTTAATTTATTTGAAAGAACGAGCACGAGTGAGGGGAGGCGCAGAGGGAGAAGGATAAGCAGACTCCCCGCAGAACAGGGAGCCCAATGTGGGGGCTCGATCCCAGGACCCTGAGATCATGACCTGAGCCGAAGTCAGACACCTAACAGACTGAGCCACTCAGGTACCCCGACATGAAGGCATTTTTAAAACAGTTTTATGCCAAGCTAAGATTATGAGAGATTACAGAATAATTCATTGTTCTTTTCTCTCCTAGAAATCAGGAAAGTTGATGATCCTCTGCAGTGTCACTTGCAAAATCGAAGCATTCAGAAGAGTGTGGAACAATGCTGTGAACATAATACATTTGCAAATATTCTTAATCAGAGTGAAAGTCATTTCCTGTTAAAGCAAAATTATGATATGTTTGACTTATTTGAAAAACCTTTAAAATCAAATTTAAGTTTTGAAAGCCAGAGTATAAACTGTAATGCAAAGAACTCTACTGAGTTTAATGAAGATGGGAAATCCCTTCTGCATACTAATCATGAACAATTTTATAGTGTAATAAAATTTCCTGTAAGTGTAAAACCCACCAGCAATAATTCCCAGGTCATTAAGCAGCAGAGAACTCCAAACATGCGGAAAGCCCATGTATGCTGTGAATGTAGGAAAGTCTTTGTCAAGGTGTCTCAGCTCATTGATCATCAGAGAGTTCATACTAGAGAGAAACCTCATGGATGCAGTCTGTGTGGGAAGGCATTCTCTAGAAAATCCAGGCTAACTGAACATCAGAGAATTCATACAGGACTGAAACATTATGAATGTACTGAATGTGACAAAACATTCCTCAAGAAATCACAGTTCAATATACACCAGAAAACGCATATGGGACAGAAGCCTTATACATGTAATGAATGTGGGAAAGCGTTCATCAAGAAGTGTCGGCTTATTTATCATCAGCGAACTCATACAGGAGAGAAGCCCCATGGATGCAGTCTATGTGAGAAAGCCTTCTCTACAAAGTTTAGTCTCACTACACATCAGAAAACTCATACAGGAGAGAAACCTTATACATGCAGTGAATGTGGAAAAGGCTTCATTGAGAAGAGGCGTCTTATTGCACATCATCGAACTCATACTGGTGAGAAACCTTTTATATGCAATGAGTGTGGGAAAGGTTTCACCTTGAAGAACAGTCTTATCACACATCAGCAAACTCATACAGAACAGAAATTGTATACATGCAGTGAATGTGGAAAAGGCTTTTCAATGAAGCACTGTCTCATCGTACATCAGCGAACTCATACAGGAGAGAAACCCTACACATGCAATGAATGTGGAAAAGGCTTCACCTTGAAGAGTCCTCTTATCAGACATCAGCGAACCCATACAGGAGAGAAACCCTATGTATGTAGTGTATGTGGAAAAGGCTTTACCGTGAAGAGTGATCTCATTGTACATCAGCGAACTCATACTGCAGAGAAGCCATATATATGCAATGATTGTGGGAAAGGCTTCACTGTGAAGAGCCGTCTGATTGTACATCAACGCACTCATACAGGAGAGAAACCTTATGTATGCAGTGAATGTGGAAAAGGCTTTCCAGCAAAAATACGGCTGATTGGACATCAGCGAACTCATACCGGAGAGAAGCCCTATATATGCAATGAATGTGGAAAAGGCTTCACAGAGAAGAGTCATCTCAATGTACATAGGCGCACTCATACAGGAGAGAAACCCTATATATGTAACGAATGTGGCAAAGGCTTAACTGGAAAGAGCATGCTCATTGCACATTTGCGAACTCATACTGGGGAGAAACCGTATATATGCAATGAATGTGGAAAGGGCTTCACCATGAAGAGTACTCTAGGTATACATCAGCAAACTCATTCTGGGGAGAAACCATACAAATGTAATGAATGTGATAAAGCCTTCAGGAAGAAGACCTGCCTCATACAACATCAGAGATTTCACACAGGAAAAACTTCCTTTGCATGTACTGAATGTGGAAAATTTTCTTTGCGTAAAAATGATCTCATTACCCATCAGAGAATTCACACAGGAGAGAAACCGTATGAATGCAGTGAATGTGGGAAAGCCTTCACTACAAAGTCAGGGCTCAATGTTCATCAAAGAAAACATACAGGAGAGAGGCCCTATGGATGCAGTGATTGTGGGAAAACTTTTGCCCACTTGTCAATCCTTGTTAAACATAAGAGAATTCACAGATAGTCACTTTGGTTTTTTGTGGGTTTTTTAAAGATTTTATTTCTTTATTTGAGAGAGAGCACATGAGAAGGGGGAAGGTCAGAGGGAGAAGCAGACTCCCTGCCGAGCAGGGAGCCCGATGTGGGACTCAATCCCGGGACTCCAGGATCATGACCTGAGCCGAAGGCAGTCACTTAACCAACTGAGCCACCCAGGCGCCCACAGATAGTCACTTTGGGATAACCTGTTGCCAGTTGTAGTCCCTCAAGATAATAGTATGTAATGAAGAATAACAATGCAAAGAATAGTATTATCTTTAGTGATCAATTATGTCATATTTTATGTTGATGAAAAAATTTACAAAACAACTCACAGTCAGCCTTGATGAAAATATTTTAGGACATTATACATCTAAAAAGTGTAGACTGAAATAGATTCTATGAATGTGACAGACTAGGAAAGCCGTCAGTGGGAATTAGACGCTATCATGTGATCATCACAGATAATGAATTTTTTTTTTTTAATATTTATTTATTTGACAGAGAGATAGCGAGAGCAGGAACACAAGCAGGGGGAGTAGGAGAGGGAGAAGCAGGCTTCCCACCGAGCAGGGAGCCCGATGTGGGGCTCGATCCCAGCACCTGGGATCATGACCTGAGCTGAAGGCAGACGCTTAACCAACTGAGCCACCCAGGCGCCCCTGAATGAATATTTCTAATTGGTAGAACTATAACTGTGGGAGAACCTTTGCCCAGAAGTAAGACCTCAATAGATGTCAGTTCACACTAGACAAGTACTTTGCGGTGGCAATAAATGTAGTAGGGCTTGAAGTAATATATTTGCCAGGAAATCCATACAGAAATAACTTAGGAACACATTCAATGTGGTGGACTTTAGCAAAATATCAGACAACTTAAAGGAAAGAAGCTTTGGGGAAATGATGAACGAGAGCATTCCGTCATGTCTAAAGATAATTAACGGATACATAATTAGTGGATAATATGCCTCACAAGCATTCAGAACAGGATACTTCAGCTTTATTTCTGATTGCCTTGTCATTGGTTTTATAAATTTTAAATAGTGGCAGTTACTCTCACCATGGATTAAATTTTAATATGTACAATGCAGGAGTGTTCCGTGCCTGTGTCGTTATATAATTAACTTTTGAATTTCTTTAGTTCCAAGTTTAATTGTTATTACAGAATACTTGAAGTACTTCAAATTAAGTAATATATTCATTTCATATGTATAACTCAGTATATTTGGGTGTTTAGCCAAGTTTATAAGCAGCATCAATTTTGAATTTGAAATAAGTTTAGAATCATAAAAACTGGAATATTTCAGAGATTTCCTAAATGCCCTTCAGCCTGCTACTTCCAAAGGTAAAATTTTACATAACCAGAGTTCATTATCAAATAGAGGAAAGTGAAATTAGTATAATGCTTTTAACCACAGGATTTACTTGGATCTCACCAGTTTTAAGATGGACACATTTTTGTTTGTTTTTTACATATAGTTTTAAGAAACTTTATAGCGTGTAGGTTTGTGTAACCAACACCACCGAATGTTTTGTCTACACAAACTCCCTCATGCAAACCCTTCATAGTCACATTTTTCTGTGAACCTAACGCCTGGCATCAGAGATTCTGTAAGTTTGTCATTTGTAGAATATGAGGAAAGTCGAATCATTTAGCACTTACTCTTTGAAGTTGGCTATTTGACCTTGTGAGATAATAGAAAATATATACATTGGTCTCTGCCCCTGGTTCCTGGCACACACTCCTAAAACCCTTGTAAATTACTAAGTGATGAGTGCGCTAGGGGCATTTTTTATTCAAATGAGGCAACCCTGGGTGGGCTCCTGTATGGCTTCTGGATGGGGACTGGTCACCAGAGAGACTAAGCCATAGAAGCTTAGAACTTTCAGCCATGCCTTCCCTCCCCGCCTCCTCCTCAACCAATCCTCCAGAAATGGGAGAAGGAAATTGAGTTAATAATTGATCAATTCTACCTGAGGAAGCCTCCATAAAATCCCCAATGGTAGGTGAACATACAGGTAGGTGAACACATCCAGGTACATGGAGGGTAACATACCACAACTCCGTGGGGATAGAAGCTCCTGTGCTTGGGACCCTTCTAGGTCTCACCCTGTGTATGTCTTCGTCTGGCTGTTCACCTATATTCTTTTTTTTTTTTTATTCATGAGAGACAGAGTGAGAGAGAAAGGCAGAGGGAGAAGCAGGCTCCCAAGGAGCAGGGAGCCCGATGCGGGACTCGATCCCAGGACCCTGAGATCATGACCTGAGCCGAAGGCAGACGCTTAACCATCTGAGCCACCCAGGCGCCCTGTTCACCTATATTCTTCATCATAGCCTTTAATAAACTGGTGTGAGTGTGAGCTGCTCTAGCAAATTAATGGAACCAGAGGAGGGGAAGCTCCCACTTGTAGCCAAGTCAGAAAATGTAGGGAATGCGCAGACCTGCTGCTTGCCATTGGCATATGAAATGGGGAGAGGGGTACACTTTGTAGGACTGGGCCCTTCACCTGTGGGGTCTGACACTATCTCCACGTTGGCGGTGTCAGAATAGGGTTACATTGTAGGACACCCAGCTGGTGTCCTGGAAAATCGCGTGGGGTGTGGAGATCCCCACACGCGTTTGGTGACCGGAAGTGTCCTGTGGCAGTTGTGTGAGTAAAGGAGACGCACAGGAGGAGGACAGTTCAACGTAGATCAAGCGAGGAGCTCTCTGGGGTCTCCTCTGCTTTTGGACACCGGACTTACTGCGAACTGGCCGCACCCAAGTTCTTCCTGCCCAACGGCTCAGGGGAACCATCGACTTGCTGTTTTTCCCAAACTCCTGATTAGAATGCACCCCACGCCGCATGGGGCTTGGAGAGGTTCCCGCCTCTGAAAGGTAGTTAGCTCTGCGCCCGTGACCATCTCTTGAGAGGAGAGGAAGGCCCCGGCTGCCCTCAAGACGGTTCCACTTCTTCCCGCCGAGGAGAGTGCTGGCAGCCAACGGCAGCTCCCGTCGGAAGCGCCAGACGCGCTCTGCGAGGAAACAGGAAACGGTGGTCGCCTCACACCCGCCTGCTCACGGCCCCGAGCAAGCCGAGCGCACTTCCGGAAGGGCCGCTGCGCGCCGGACGCGCTCCTCGCAGCCGTCGACGTCCTCGCGCTGGCGTGGGGGGGGGGGGGGCGCGGAGAGCACTGCAGTCGGACGCCGTCCGGGGAGCCCTCAGAGGCGGGGGTCTGGTGCGCCTGACTGGGTGTGGGTCGCGAGTGAGGAGCCCAGCCGGTGAAGCGGGAACCCGTGTGGGGACGTTTTCGTTGTTCGGGGTTTTATTTGGAGACAGTCACCGAGAAATGCGGGCGTGAGTTAAGGCATGGTCTTCAGAGACTGATGATGAAGGGCCGACGGTCAGGGCCTGGGGGCCTGTGCGTGGACTCAGCCTGGCTCGGTGGCTGAAAACTAGGTGGCAGGTGCGGACCCATGATCACTGCCCCTCGGCTGCCTTAGCGATTGCACCCGGGGCTTCTGACAGGGAGCAGCCTGTGGCGGTAGGGGCGGGAGTTTCCATGGACCAGAGCTCCTGGGCTGAACTTGAGATCGAATTTGAGATCAGTGTTGTTTGGGGAGTGCAGGGTTTGTCTGTGTTTGAGAACATGGGAGTCTGGAAGTTTTGAGACCCATGGCCCCGGGCTAGTGGGTGTTTTGAGGCTCAACTTTTGGACGGTGGAAACATTTCCTTTCGGTTTTTCAAGTCCCTTCTCAAGGTTCTACAAAAATGTGAAGAAAAATTTGCTCCTACATCCACTCTTCTCACTGTCCCCACAAAAACCGGAGTAGTTCACCATGATCAACTGGTTTGTCCATGAATAAAGAGAGGATTTTTAACTTACGGCCAAGTTTACCCGGATATTTCCTTTCAGGTTTGACACGAGTAAAAGCAACCATTTTCTTAAATTCTCCTCCTCAGTGAGAGCAATTTTGTTAAAAGAAATTTTTTAGATTAACTTTCCAAAAATTGGGGTCATCTACATTCAAGACTCTGCCTATCTTCTAACACGCCTGTATGCTTTTGCATTGTCTCTGGCAAATAGTAAGAGTCCCTCTTACTCCACCTTATCAACAGCATTTTATACTTTCAGTTTTTTTAAATTTTGGCGATTCCAATATCTGGGTACTTGTATCACACTGCAGTTTTTAATTTGTAATTTCCTAATAACGAATGATGTTGATCATCTTTTCATATACTTGTTTGCCATCTGTCTTTGATCAAGTGCCTGTTCAAGGTCTTTGCCCATTTTTAAACTGAGTTTTCTTATTGTTGACTTTTAAGAATTCTTTCTGTGTTCTGGATACCAGTCCTTTATCAGATATATGACTTGTGTGATGAATGTATAGATTCTTTTTTTTTTTTTAGGAACATCTTTGTGTTCCAGCATGATGTGTTGAAGTCTGTCCTTTCTCCGTTGAATAGCCTTTGTACCTTTATCAAACAGTTGAGTATATTTGCTTTGTGTGGGTCTTTTTCTGCGATCTCCATTGATCTATGTGCTTATTTTTTCAACAATGCTATCAATACCAATACTTGAAATCTATTGATGTAAGCACTGTATGTATGATGGTTCTTTTTGGCCAGAATTGGTTTTGATATTTTCAGTGGAGAAAACTGGCACACATACCTTTACTAGGAGATCAACATTAAGTCATTTTGATATTTGGTACCCCTACCTATGATGTGATGAGAAAGGAACTTCAGTTCTGAGTGTCTTTCCAAAATACATAACCCCTGTTTAATGAGGAAAACTTAGACCAACCCAAAAGATGGACAATATACAAAGTACCTGATCAGTACTCCTCAAAACAATTGAGAGATGAAAAAGAAAAGACTAATGAATGGTCACAGACATGAGGAAATCAAGGAAACATGTTTTCTAAATGCATTATTGTATTCTTGGGCAGAAAAAAGATAGTAGTGGAGAAACTTGTGAAATATGAATAGAATCTGTAATACAGTTGAGTATTATACAATGTTGTCTTCTTAATTTGACAAATGTACCATAATTATAAAAAGTGGTCACATGAGAGGAAGCTGAATAAGGTATATGTGAACTCTTTGTAGTATTTTGTGACTTTTATGTAAATCTAAGATTTTCTGAAAATAAAAAGTTTATTAAAAATAGATAAAACCTACATCAATTATATCTTAATAAAACTGGGAAAAATAGGTGTAACCAAATTTTATCAGTTAATTTCTCATTGTAAACATACTTCCATATTATAAAAAGTTTATGCATATCTATATATAATATTATTATGCAGCTGTAATAATATCATAGGTGAACTTGTAGGATGGTAACTAGAGTCACATAAAATGTATGCATTAAAGTAAGGTACACTTGAAGAACAAAATCTTCAATTATGTTCAGTTTCTATTTTGATCCTCTCATTATCCAAATTCTTACATTCTCACTGCAAGATTTGTTGTAACTTTTTTCTTATATGTTCCAGACATCTCCATTTACTTTTACTCCTAGGTAGTTTATATTTTGCAATTATACTTGGTGTCTTTAAAAAAAAAAAATCATACCCTATACATTTTGTAGTATGGTACAGCAATTCATTTTAACAGGTTTATTGTCAAAATGTACATATAACATTTACCATTAATGAGTGTACAATTCAATGACATTCACTAAGTTTATAGACTTGTGCCACCATCACCACAAACCAATTTTTAGAAATTTTCGTGACCACCAAAAGTAACTGGATGGTTGTTTTGTTATTGTTGAATTTTGACAATTCTTTTTTTTTTTTAAAGATTTTATTTGTCAGAGAGAGTGAGCACAAGCAGGGGGAACAGCAGGCAGAGGGAGCAGGCTCCCCACTGAGCAATGAGCCTGATGCAGGACTCAGTCCCAGGACCCTGAGATCATGACGTGAGCTGAAGGCAGACGCTTAACCTACTGAGCCATCCAGGGGTCCCAACAATTCTTTATATATTCTGAATACAAGTCCTTTATCAGATGTATAATGTGGAGATATTTTCTTCCAATTTCTGGCTCCACTCTTTACTTTTTAAATATTGTGCTTAGAAAGTACAAATGTTTAAAA